TACTCTCGTCCTTAAGTAAGTCAGCCAACTCAAACTTGGATCATTGGTGGCACAAATAGCCTATCTCATTGACCTACTTTGTAATTGAAAAATGGTTTAGAAAAACGAAGTTCTTTTCTTTTGTAATTAGATTTAGGAATATTATCCAATCAACTAGCACTTGTTCGGGACTCATGAATGACCCTAACTCTTGTCCTTGACTAAGTCAACCAATACAAAGTTGATCTTGGTGGCACAAATGGCCTATTTTATAGCCCCTAACCTTGTTCTGGAAAGACAATTTTAGAAAACAAGATTTAAAACATTTTGGTAAGCATTTTTGAGAAAGTAAATGTTATAAGATTCTTCGAGTTCTACCGGAAGCGGATGATCCCGAAAAGCTATATCTCCCCGAGCCAAGTGGGGCCTGACAAGCAATAAGAGAACATTTTTGATAGCATATAACTCAGGAAGGAAGATTTGAGAGCTAGTCATATCCTCCTAACATTATGAGGCAAATTGCCTTTAATAGGGGTGAGAAGTATTGCGCTAACAAAACTACCCGTAAATAACTGTGCTAGAACGGAAAGCATACAATGAAATAAAAGTAAAAGGTTTGGAATGGGCATGTAGCTATGGGCAACATGTTTTGGACAGCATGTCCGTAATTGTAATTGTAATTATTCTGTTGATATGACCCTTACCTTGAATTGGTCTCCTCCTCCTCTCTTAGGAGAGCTAGATCTAGTGTTACCTCTAGTTGAGGAAGCATGATTTCGTCTCTACACCTTGAGATTGATCATTATTGAGGTTGACACATGCTCTACAGTTGCACAGACGGTGGAAAGATCTTGAACCCGTTGCTCATATAGTTTTGACTTCATCCATGACTTCAATTCTTCAGCAAAAAGTAGAACTTCGTCTTCCTCGAATATTAATCGTGTGTTTCAATTCCCTTAATTTTTTCCTCACCAACAGCATTCTGGAAAAATTGTGAATGATGCTCTCATTTCAGTCTTTCCCAAGTGTCTACACTATATTGACCATTCTGGATATATTGCCTTTGGCCGGTGTAAACATCAAAAAATGGAGAGGAATCATACACCAAAAAAAATTACAAGAAAAGTATATAACTATTCTAGAGGGAAAGACATACAAAGAAAGTAAGATAAAAGGTTTGGGATGGGCATGCGATCACGGACACATTGCACTAGGAATTTCTAGTTTACACCCAATTTATCATTAGTGTCTACTAAATCTCGTCGTTATCAAAAACGGAATATCAGTTTATCGCCAATGTGGTTTAGTCCCGTTCTTTTTGTCGTAATTACTTTAAAGTGCATGAGCGTTCACTATTTTCGGACACGCTTTAATCTTTAGCTGCTTTGTTATCTTCTGCATTTCTGGACGGTCTTGTGAATGTGATTGAAGTTGTACTGTGCTTTTTTGCAGGCTGGCGAGAGAAGGAAAGGAAGAAAGAGAGTTTTGTTCTTTCACAAGTAAAGAAGAATAGTAAATGCAAAGTTTTCCATTGCCGTTTTTTCTTACCTTTCTCTATTTTATGTCAGTTTTGTTGAATTAGCTCTTTTCTCAAAGACTTCTATTTATGAGAAATGTATATGATGGGTAAAATTAGAATGAAACAGTGCCTTCCTCTCGTTACGCCATTCAGCCTTCAGCTTCACTTTTTGTTTATGCTCTGAATAATATATATGATGCTGTTCAAAAATCCTTAGTGCAGCTCTCAACAAGGTTCATTAAATTTGGGGCTGCTCTTCCTCTACCCAAGTGAAACACTTGGAATATGTTTATTGTATGGACGGTGGTATGTAGCCCTCTCGAATACCCGCTCGTGAAAATATCATATTGTTCGGATTCAAATTTTAAAAATTAGTATATATATATATGTAACTTTTTGTTAGTGTCCACAGCTCATGGAAATGTCATATTGTTCTCTCTCCCTCGTACTTCTTCCTTCTTCCCTTTGTACATATTGTCTGTTTTAGTTCATTACGTATTGCTGTTAGTCTCATGGTTTTGAAACACATCTATTAGGGAGAGGTTTTCACACCCCTACAAGGAATGATTTGTTTTCCTCTCCAATCAATGTGGGATCTCACAATCCACCTCTTGGGGGCTAACATCTTTGTTGGCACACTGGCCGGTGATTGACTCTAGTATCATTTGTAATGGTCCAAGTTTATATTATCTGTTTTAGGCCATTACGTATTGCTCTCATGGTTTTAAAATGCATCTACTAAAGAGAAGTTTCCACTCTTATAAACAAGGTTTTGTTATTCCCTTTGTGGATTCGCACAACCTTTGTCCTTGAGTATTATGTTTGGAATAAGGAGTGGGGACTATAATATTTCATTTCTACCGACTGTAAAGATTCTTGATCGATGAATGAGACTGAACCGGACCCTTCTCTCTGTCTTCTCCTTTCGTTCTGTTCTATGGATTCTTTCTCTTGTTTGACGGAGCCTTTTCTCTTTCCTTTGCTCGGTAAATGTGTGTTTGTTTGGTTCTTTCTCCTAATATTATTTTTTAAAACATTATCCATTATTCTTGTCCTAGACCACAAAGTGTAGCTGAAGTTCTCAGTCGTCTCCTCCACTAGCAGCTGGCGTCACCACAATGAGTAGAAAATTCAATTCCTTGTTTCTGTTTGGCTCTCCCTCTCCATGTCACTGTCTTTGGTCCCTCTTATCCTGTTTCTTATAATTGAAATTTGGCAACTTGCAAATGTTGTCATTCTTATCTTTAAGGATACTTTTTTCAAACTTTATGGACTACAAACATTATTATGATTGTCTTGTGTAGCTTAGCATGTGGGCTCGTGAGTGGGTGAAAGCTTGATAAGTGTTAGTGTTAGATCACGTGATAGATGTGACGTTGGTTGTGTTGGAAATGAGTGATTTTGATGTCATCTTGAGTGTGGATTGATCAATTGAAAACTACACCAGTATAGATTGTTTTCACACGGAGATTATGTTCAGCATTGAAGGCAACAAAGTCGATCCACTAAGACGTTTGGGGTATATTGGCTAGAATGACCAACACATGATGTATTAAGGCTGGGATAACCTCATTGTCGGTAGTTAGGAAATTCGTTAACGTGTTCCCAAATGACCTCATAGGGTTACCCCCAACCTGTGAGGATGAATTTAATATTGAGTTTGAGTTGGGGATAATCAAATCAAGACTCATAAAGGGTTTCATACGTTTGAGGGTTCCATCGTAAGGAGCACCAATACTATTTGTAAAGAAGAAAAATGAGTCAATGTATATATGCATATATTATCACGAGCGAGATAAGGAAGCTACAAAAATAAAGTATCCACTTCAATAAATTGATTACTTATTTAATGCTACACGCGGTGACAATATTCTCTTAGATTCATCTACAATCAAGAAATCACCGGCGGAGGATTGAGAAGAAAAACATTCCCAAAACCAAAAGGCCTCATACCAATGTAGTTAGTATTCTTCACTTATAAACCCATGATCACACCCTAAATTAGTCAATGTGGGACTTCCATCATCCAACATTCACAATCCAGATGAATAGAGCATTCAAGGAGTTTTAGATATATTTGTAATAGTTTTTATCAACGATATCCTAATATACTCTAAGATGGACGAAGAACTTGAGAAGCATCTGAGAAAGTTTTTGACTACTATTAGAGTAAAATGATTGTATGCCAAGTTTCCATGCTTGAGTTTTGGCATTTGAATCCAGTCGGAGAATACAATTTTTCCCGGCCAACATTTTGGCCCGGCTTGAGTCTGCTATGCTCGGATCTTTTCTTACTAGTCAACTCTTTGGAAGCGCTTAAAGTTAGTATGACTACCTTCTAACTAGTTTAAATTATTTGAAGTCAATCTAAATTATTTTATACAAAATTAAGTTTAGCTATTTAAATTATTTAAAGTTAAGTTAAATTATTTTATGCAAAATTAGGTGAACCAATTCGCATAGTATTCTAATTTATGATTGTGGGACTCTTGTTTGTAGAATTAAATTTGAGAAAACAACCCTAAAGTGGGGTCATAGTAGCTTTGCTCTAGACCAACCAAATAAATGGCTCTATTTGTCTTATGTATGATGACATGTGCCTAGTGGCACTGTACGTGTCATATGTTTTGATATGATATGTTTCAATGATATGGTGTGTCTAGGTATGCCAAGTAACATTAAAATATGAATGAATGTTGTATTATACCTTGATGAATTATGATATGTTATGAAATGCCATGACATTCTGTGACATGATTACATCAGACCGTATGACATGAAATGTTTGAGATAAGGAAATTTATGATGTAAAACCCGTGATACATGATTTAAAGGTTATGCTATGAATGAAATGAAGTTGCCTTATTTGTTTACCATGAAAAATGTTGGGACCTCATGCATAAATGTATCTTCATCTGCATCGAGATACTTCCCCTTATGATGAGTACGGACAGGTACGTTATGAAAAGGAAAATGATCATCATGTTTAACATGGTACTACGATGGTCATTATTCCTTCTGGATGTCCGACAACAGCACCAGAGAAGCTAGCCCGACCAACAGATGTCCAGGAGGTGTGCGAACAGCCTAGTGGGTTCATGCTCGCACGTGTGAGTCGTATGTAGAGTAGTAAATACACATTCAATTACCCGGATTAGAAAGCTGCCTAAGAGAATACGATTTTAATCGATAGGTCTCATTCATGTTGCATGTGTTTCCCTTCCCTAACCTGAATAGTAGGGTCACTTACTAAGTATTTTTTAAAATATTCAAGTCGTGTGTTACTCTTATATTTCGGGTAAAGATAAGGCACTCGCATACGAATGACGGGCGGCGTATAAAGTTATCAAACTATTAACCATTTTCATTTAAATTTGAGTTAAATATATTTTATTATTATTATTTTAAAATTTAAGAATATAATTGAAAGTAAATATCTCCTTTTTCCCATCTTACGTACGCAGCAATCATATCATTCAAAGCTTCCTTTTTCTCTAAACCCTATTTCACGTTCAGAGCCCTCCCTCCCTCCCATTACCAGTCGCTGCACCCCCACCCCCACCCCGGACGCCGTCTCAGCGGCTGCCGCCGCACGCTGCAATCCCTCTCCCATTCTCTAGCCTCTCCCAGCAATCGGAGTTACTTATCTCTATTTTATTTTCTCAGAAACACGGTGGTTCAGCCCCTAATCCGCGCCATTCGTAGGATCCTGCCGCTGCCGCTCATTTTCGGATCCCCTAGGTCTTATTTTCTATTTGTTTTGTTTCGTTTGTTATGTTGGTTTATTCTCTTTCACCCATGGAGAGGAACTTCAAGAGTATGTTCTTTTTACTGTTGAGTTCTTCAACAATTGTTCAACTTATGTAAATGAAAACATAAAACTAGAAATGTATCCATCTCTTATTAGAAAATGAAGAACAGATTGAGTCGATCAATAAGAACAAAAAATGTATCATTCTTATCGGAATCCAATAAATAAAGAAGAAATAATTGTTTTAAAAGATGAACAGAGGTTGTAGGCTGGCAATGAACAACTTGTTGGCCTTGTTATCAATCTTTTCTTAAAAAAGAACAGCATAATTAATTGGCATACAAAGAATACAAGATTTCGAACTGCAAACTGATTCGTAATTTCTTGTTTTTCTTTTCTCATAAAAAATTCAGGGAGGCACATATAACTTTCTTTTACTCTGCAGGGGTTGCAAGGGATTTTGAATTTATCGTCGAGGAAGGTAGTTGTTAATTGAAGGTTATCTTGTGCTACCATGGCGACCAGTAAGTCTCATCTCACCAAGCCTTTCCCTCCATTTTTTGTGTTCATTTTACTTTTGTTATATATGTTTCTTAAGGATTTTCTTTGGGTTTGTGTCAACTACAATATTTCTCACATGCTTCGATTCTTTAGGGCTTATGTTTGAGAACTCATGTGAAATTGGGGTTTTCTCCAAGCTCACAAATGCTTATTGCTTGGTTGCAATTGGTGGCTCTGAGAACTTCTACAGGTTCTTTATTTCCCTTTCCTGTTTCCTGACCTTGTTTTGAACTGGAAGCAATTTCTCATGAATATTTTCCATGTTTTAGTGCCTTTGAATCTGAATTAGGCGGTGTCATTCCGGTCGTTAAAACATCCATCGATGGCACGCGCATTATTGGTCGTCTATGTGCTGGTTTGTAAAACTTTTATTCTTTTTGTTTGATTATTTTCTGCACCTTCAAAGTATGATGAATACCCATTAATGATGTGACGCCCAAACAACTTATGTTCATGTTTCCATAACATTGTATTTCTTTTTCATATTTCTTACTGCAGGAAACAAAAATGGGCTTCTTGTACCACACACCACTACTGATCAAGGCAAGCTTCTTTTCTATCTTCTTGTTACATTACATCTTTAGTTTCATAGTTGGGGTGCATGCCTGCAGTACTACATCTCTTTGAATATATTTGTATCTCTCTTTATCAAGTGAGAGAGTTTTGAATATAAGCTAATGTAAATAAAAACAATATGCCTTCCTGTTAAAATTCTGTTCAAATGGTCGTTTGTTCTATTTTTTATACGAATGATATCCAACTCTTGCCATTTACATGATAAAATTGTAAAGGTTACCACCTTGATCAACAAGAGACTCAGGTTATTGTCATTTATGATTGCTTTGTGAGTTTGAATTATTAAATTCCGTATGTCGAGTTGGAAGTTCTATTTTGTGCTGTCGATGAAGCGTATGAGTATTCTATGTAATTTTAGTTGTTACCTACCAAATCAGAGAATTTTTTTTTTGTTCTTTTTGCAATTCATTGGATAGGATATTCCCCTTTTTATAATTCATCTCGTCAATAAAATGTTACTGTCTTCTATATAAAAATAATAATAATTTTGTTTGCAGTAAGGATTCGAATAATTATCTCTAAGTTTATGAATTCAGAGACTACATCATTATGCAATAATGAATTCATTGTCTTGCACGTGATGCCTGAAACTGTCGGCACTAGCATTATTAAATTTGTGTCTATACAAGTTTTTAAGTGAGGACGCATCATGAAATTAAGTTTGATCCGACTTGCACGAAACTCTTTTTGATGTTCTTTAATTTATGTTAATAGGTAATGATGTGTATTGCCATATTACATAACTGACACTATGTTCCAATTCTTTGCGTTTTTGAAGAACTTCAGCATTTGAGAAACAGCCTACCTGACCAAGTTGTTGTCCAACGTATACAAGAGAGACTGTCTGCTCTGGGGAATACAATTTCTTGTAATGATCATGTTGCTCTCACACATACTGATCTCGACCGGGTATTTTTACTTGTCCTTCCCGCTTCACGTCGTGCTTCTAGTGGTACTTTCTACATCACCATCTTCGCTTGCAATCTTGTTCTCCCATTTCAATCTGGAAATTTCAAATCTATGTAATATCCCAGTTCCTAGAAAATGTTCAAGGAAATAACTTGTACCCGCCAAGGAAGCAATGGCTTCTTCGAGCAGTGTCCGAATCTTTTATGAACAGAGTCTCAATGGTTGAGCGCATATCCTCATAAAGACGGGACATGGTGCAGAATATGGACTCGTTGATTGGATTGGAGTGTTCTAAAAAAATTGAGTTCTTGCAAATATACTTATGGAACGCAAGACTGCTTTATTTCTCTCATCCATTCCTCTTTGTCTACTAAAAGAAATATGTTATTCTCTCATTGATCAGGAAACTGAAGAGCTCATTGCTGATGTTCTTGGAGTAGAGGTCTTTAGGCAGACGGTAGCAGGCAACGTTCTCGTGGGAAGCTACTGTAGCTTCACGAATAGGGGTGGCTTGGTAATGTTCACCTTCCTTGCTCCTTTTTAACCAAGTGTAGTCTCCGTATTGAACTTTCCTTCAACTTCATGTGAATGAAAATCCCCTGAAAGTTGGACTTGTGCAAATATTCAACAGGTTCATCCACATACGTCCATTGAAGATTTGGATGAGCTATCAACCCTTCTTCAGGTCCCTTTAGTTGCTGGAACAGTGAATCGTGGAAGTGAAGTGATTGCTGCTGGATTGATAGCAAATGACTGGACTGCATTTTGTGGTTCAGACACGACTGCGACCGAGTTATCGGTGATCGAGAGCGTTTTCAAATTGAGGGAGGGTCAACCAAGCTCCATTGTTGATGAAATGAGGAAGTCGCTAATAGACAGTTACGTGTGAAGTGTCATGTAATGCTACACCTGATTCTTGCAAGCAAGCAATTGTTATTACTGCTGCCTTTTTCCTTTTGTTATGTTTAACAACTTTGTGAGTGTGTAATTCGACTCTGCCCTCAATAGTGTTTTGGTTGAAATTGGGATCCATATTTGCTATTATACGTCTTTTGTTCAATGTTAAGTTAGGGTGTTTATTAATCGGTTTCGATTTTAAAAATTTCTAATAGGTTCTTGAATTTTGATTTTGGCGTTAAATGATTTAATATGACACATAATTTAGTGTTCACGAAAGATTTGAATCTTTAACCATTCGAAAAGATTTAAAACTTTTCTCATCAATATATCCCTCTTATTTCTTTCAATGCCAAGAAATTAATATTTTACCAAAGGAAACAACATGTGGAGGCTTCATTCTGTTCAAGTCTATTAAATTCTTTATACATTCTTAACATATTTCTCTTAGTATAATAAATTGTTCATTAATTAATTAATTCTAATTTTAAAATAATTATAAATTAAAATAGAATTACTCAAATGGCTTGAGAAAATAAATTCCAATTGTGCCCCTATTACAAACCGTAAAAAAAAGTTATCATAGATGGTGGAAATCGAACTTTCAACTAAACTTTTAGTTGATATTATTATAACATCTGAATTAGTTTGATTCAAGAGATCATCACAGATCAAAATATCATTTACACGTCTAAACATTCAAGAGATCTCACGTACATATCTAATTTTAATACTTTAAACCCTCCTATAGAGAGTATTGTGTTCATGCTAAATTACATGTTTTAATTTTTTTGCATGTCCAAGTAAATTAATATCTGCCAAGTCATATGAAATAATGGTATTTTATTTCATGAAAATGAAACAAAGTATTTTAAACTAAATTAATAAAATGCAATTCAAAATTACTGTCATTCTTTTATCAATTAAATCTGACTTAACTGGATAGAACAAAAAATCAGCACTTCAAGAAGGATGAAAAATGAAACTTCTAAAAGATTGACAAAATTTAAAATAATAATGATGATAATCGGGTTAGCCTAATTATCTAAAATCAATTACTTGAAATTCAGATGAGATGAGACGCATAAATAAATGGGCATATAATTGGTTCAAATAATATACAAGTTTTGAACATTTTTGTCCCTAATCAATGGTTTTTCTTTTAGCCTATGTTCTATGAAAGAAAAAACAATATTAAACACAGAAGGAAGCTGCTCTACATGATGCCAAATTCGACACACGGGTATAATCACGAGTTATGGCTAAATATAATCAATATGACACTTTATAAACGTGATCAAATTCGACTCATCGTCTTATAAGTAAGATGGAGAATGGATTTTCGGAGTGATATTAAACATAACAGAAGGGGTTTTAGCTCTTTCGAAATCATTCTCAACATGCATGCAAGTTAGGATATCTCAGGAATCATCAGCCCATGTATAAATTGAAATTTTAAATCACTACTCTCAAACATTAACCTGAAAACAAAACGGTGGTAACAAAATTGTGTTCATCTGCTAACCATATTTCGAAGTCCCATCCTAAGAAAACACATGGGAATCCCTTTTAAGTTCTGAAGAATCGAATCCACACAAACGCCCTAGCTAGCTCGATAACACAATTGAGAGCGAAGAAAACTGACCTCAAAATACATGGCACAACTCTTCAAGTTAAACTGCACTTGAACCAAAAATCTACTCTGGGATCATTTGCTCATTATCGGCATCGGCCTCCGTCTCGATTTGTGGCTTTGATGGACCTGCGCCCGGAGCCTGTTTCTTCTTAATACCACTAACAATGTCGTCAATTCTCAGCAGCATGCAGGAAGCTTCTATAGCCGTCTTAAAAGTTTGCGACTTTACATTATACACATCCCAAATCTGAATAAAGCAACATGATTAAGTGTAGAAGTTAGCTCAGTCCTAGTGAAGAACAATTCAAAAACTGTAAACTTCAGAACAGCACAGATATATGAGAAAAATCGAACTATTTTAGAATTACTTATCTTCTGGATTTATTATTAAACTCGAGCGAGATATTGTTACACTTCTCAAACTCAACAGCACAAGAGAACATTGGTCACACTACTAAATATCATCAGTTGCAGCGTTCGGGTCATCGATCTCTAAAAAAAGAGGCATATATTTCCATCCAAAGAAGTTGAAATGACAACTATATTTTCAATTTTCAAACCTCGTGAATTGGTTTCCATTTTTGGACAAAGGACGATCGAGAGGTTTGATTATATAACATTACAAAAGCTATACCCTAGGTAAAGGGAGAATTATAGGCCAGGGGAAAAAAAATCATACCTTGCGCTCTTTCATGTCGGTGATTTCACCGGTGTTTCCATCTATGCCTGTCCATGCGTTTTCACCATTGGCGTGCTATAAAAGTGGCAGGAAATAGGAAAAATCAACACAATTCTTCTCAGAAATGAAGCCTCCAGGCTTCTAACATATTGCATCTTACTCAAAGTTCAATACCTTTCCCTGCAATGCCGTCATGGTTCTTATCACATTCACCCCACAATTCTGAGCCAAAGTTCGGGGAATGGCTTCAAAAGCTATGGCAGCAGCTTCATAAGGCCACTGTTTCAATCACATAATTGGAAAATTTTCAATTTAGCCGCAAATCGTAAGGCAGCAGCAAACAAGATCGCAGTTAACCAAGAAAATCTTGTGGTGGGCATGCCATAAATCATGTGAAGAACAATGACTCCCTAAATTAAATCTTGTGGTGGGCATGCCATAAATCATGTGAAGAACAATGACTCCCTAAATTTGGCAGAAGTATGAGCCCACTTGGTATGAGAGTGGGTCCAAATTAATCCACAGCGAACAACCAATGACAGTTTTCTATTATAAGGGTAATAATGAAGATTATCCATACTAAGAATGAACATTATGAGTATTCCACATTTCAAAAAAATAAATGAAAAGACAAAAGAATTTACGATTACCTTTTCTATGCCTTCAACCGAAGAACTCTTTTGCTTCAGCGTAGCAGATACAGTCAACTCAGTAGCACCACCTCCAGGAACAAGTTTCGGATTTTTTATTATGTTCCTTGCTACAGACATGGCATCCTGAATCGAAAAAATAACAGACATGCTCAGTATGGGGAAAAACATGAAAAAGATCCTCCCCAACATCATATCATTAAGTTACCTGCAAATTTCTTTCCACTTCATTCAAAAGATCTTTACTAGCGCCTCTTAGGAGCACAGTACAAGCTTTTGGGTCCTTGCAATCCACTATAAATGCAAAAAATTCATCCCCTATCTTCTTAACTTCAAATAATCCAGCACCAGTGCCAACATCTGATTCCTGCAACTCATCAGGTCTATTCACAATTACAGCACCACATGCCTTGGCTATTCTGTTATTGTCAGTCTTCCTCAACCTTCTAATTGCACTGATACCAGCTTTGCTCAGGTAATGACAAGCCAAATCACTGAGGCCCTTCTCGGTGATAACCAGGTCAGGTTTGAATTTGATTATTTGTGCACAGATATTCTCAATGTATTCTTCTTCCATCTTCAGAAGAACTCCCCAATCTTCTTCTTTAACCAACTCAGCATTTGTCTGGTTTTCACCTTTTTTGTACTCTAGGGGGCAGTCGAGAAGAATAATACGTGGATTGACAATCTTTCTTCTCATTTTTCCGGGGGCAATGACATCCTTGTTAAACATCACTCCTTTAAGAACCCTTGAATCTTCTAACTGACCACCTGGAACTTTCTCAACCTTTATGTACTTCTTGATGTCTACTTCACGTAAGCCTTGGCCAAGATCAACACCGACAATTGCAGTGGCATCAATTGCTAAATCCTGGAAGTTGAACAATGACATAGCTGAATATACAACACCTCAGCATTCCACTAGTTATAAGTGTAAGCTTATGTGGGTGAATGAACTCAACCAGCCTAAACATTCTTTAATCTTCAATACTACTAAAACTAAACCCTTCAAATAATAAAATGTGAAATGCATTAGAAAACTTACACTATCTATAAATAAGATTCTAACTGCCTGTAGCCTATACACTATCTATGAGTAACAGCCTAAACGTTCTTTAATCTTCAATACCATTAGAAAGGAAACCCTTGAAATAACTAAGTTTAAAATGCACTAGAAAACTTACACTATCTACAAATAAGATTCTAACTTCCTTTAGCCTATATATATATATATAACACGAAATGAAAATAAATCAAGCAACAAGTCTAGACAAATCCCCCCAACAAATTTTTTAACATTAAATCTAAAGATCAGGCATCCTTATAGAATAAGTACATCAAGGAACGACCAAACAATCAGTGATTTAAGTTGTCTTCTGAAACTACCTTCTAAAAATCTTAACATTGAATCTAAAGATCTAGTATCCTTATGAAACAAGAAGATCAGGGAACAACCAAACAATCAATATTTTAAGTTTTCTACTGCAACTAAACCACAAAGGCCTATAAGCATATCCAGACTTCTAATCATGAGTCACATATAAGGTAGAAAATATAAAAACAAATGTAATTGCAAAACAATGTCAAGAAGGTAGATGAGTTAAGATTCTTACAGCTATCAAATCTCCAAATTGACTCGTGAACTTGGTGCCTATGCAGCTTTTAACCAGCCCCAACATAGCAGTGCCTGCCACATGATACTCATTAGTACGGTAGAGATTTTTCCAATTAATATTACATTAGCTTTGATGAAGAAAGAACAGTAATTGTTCTAGAGGAAATATATTGAAGCAACAATCTTTTATCTGGTTTTGATATTGAGTAACTACAGCATCTGATGTCTAAGTTAGTAGACATGATTATGTGGTAGCCATTTCACTCAACAGCTCAAAGGTAAGGACGTTCAAGCAACTTACGATCCTTCACATCGATGTCCATTGCTATTTTATCAAGCACAGCAAGTGCATCTTCCAGAGCTTTATTGTAGGCTATAACAAAGCACATTTAAGTTCGTAAGGATCACATTATGAACAAATCCAAGATGAAACTGCTGGCTGGAAAAAGTAAAGTACCTCGGCAAATGACTGTTGGGTGATAATTTTTCTCAATGAAGGCCTCAGCAACATGGAGCATCTCACCAGCTTCAATGTTGAGAATTAAGAATTAAAATTTAGAAAAGAAC